TGTCTTGTCTAGAGGTAACAGCATTTGAAAGGAGTAAAAATATTAATAAAGAAATTAGCATTTTTTTTTGTTGATGGAAGAGAGGATATCATTTAATAATACTATTCACATATTTAAATACTTTGTACAGTTAAAACCCAATATAAACAAGTTTTGAAATCTGACAAATTAATCAATAATAACATACATACCTGAAACAACTAGTTCAAGTGTTGCATGTAGTAAACCTTATGCATGTAAAATCATGCGTACTTAAAACAAACTTAAAGGTAACAAAAATAAATCCCGGTGAAAGTAAAGGACGAACCAAATGAAAAGAGTGTACCTAGAAAGCATTTAAACTAATCTTCCAATGGTCTTTTAGAAACAGTTGAAGAAGAAGTAGGAAGAGTATAATCTCCTGCTTCTTTTTTTGCTTCTAAAATTCTTAACATTCTCTGTTCAGCGTTTAAATTACGTTGGGCATCTTTCATTATTTCTTTTCCTTCCTCCACTTTGCTACCATAAAATGCTTTTGCATCTATATCATTAGGGTTAGTCTGGTTGTAGTTATTAAGGGCGATTCTAAATTCACCTTGTGTAGCACGGACATCTTCTTTAAAATCCTCCACTTTTTCTTTCACGCTATTAAGTTTAGCCATGAAAGTTTCAATAGAATCGTTTGGTTCCATTGCGTAAACAACTCCGAACAATTCGAAGTCCACTAATAATGTATAAACAATTAAACACAATATAATAAAACCAATGATATATAATATAAGAACGAATGCATTTCTTATATATGTAAAATATGGAATAGTGTTTAAGTTTGGTTTAAGCGAAGGGTTAGTATGTAATATTCAACTAAACTATTTTCTAATAAGCTCACTAAGGGAACTATAATTAAGAAGTGTGAAAAGTATAAAACAGTACTGATTTGTCCGAACTCTATAAAAGGAGATTCAACGTGTTTCGCTCCAAGTTGCATTAATATTAAAAAGTTTGCCACAAAAACATAAAAAGCTATTTTACTTAAAGGTCTGAACTGTAAACCTCTGCTTCTACTTAAATCTGAAAAAGGCATTACTAATAATATTAATATAGCGGAAAACCATTGCGATAACTCCTAATAATTTGTTAGGGATTGATCTTAGTATAGCATAGAATGGTAATAAGTATCATTCAGGAACTATTGCAGGAGGAGTTTGCATAGGGTTGGCCATTACATAGTTTTCACTGTCTCCTAAAACATTAGGCATGAAGAATACAAATACAGATAAAACAATAATAAATAAAAAGATTGTAATTAAATCTTTGAATATAAAGTAAGGGGCAAAAGGTAATCTGTCGTAATTACCTGAAACACCTAAAGGATTACCAGATCCTGCGCTATCATGTAATGCTATTAGATGCATTAAAGCTAGTGCCGCAAGTACGAAGGGTAAAACAAAGTGTAAAGCGAAAAATCTATTTAATGTAGCATTGTTAACAGAGAAACCACCTCAAATAAATTCAACGATGTCTTGACCTACTCATGGTATAGCACTCATAAGGTTAGTTATAACTGTTGCACCTCATAAAGACATTTGACCATAAGGAAGAACATATCCTAAAAAGGCTGTTGCCATCATTAAAATAAATATAACGGTTCCTATTGTTCATACTAACGTTCTAGGTGCTTTATATGATCCGTAGTACAGCCCTCTTCCAATATGTAAGTATACTATAAAGAAAAAGGCTGAAGCAGTATTAGAGTGTAAATAACGTATTAATCACCCGTTATTAACGTCTCTCATAATGTGTTCCACTGAATTAAAAGCCTCTAATACACTAGGGTTGTAATGCATTGCTAGTGTTACTCCTGTTATAATTTGTATAATTAAACATAGTCCTAATAAAGAACCAAAGTTTCATGCGTAGCTTAAGTTTGAAGGTTGTGGTGAGTCCACTAAGTAACCATTAGCTAAACTTAATAAAGGGTGACTTTTTCAAATTCTCATTGATTATTAAAAAAAAAAGATGTATTTTACTTGAATATTATAAAAATTATTATAGCATAGTATACATATTACAGCATACAGTACTATGGATGGTATATTTATTGCTAGAAAATAAATATATTTTTCCTTCTATCTGGATTAAAATAAAATGCCACCAACCTTTAAACCTTAGTTTTTTAAAGAGAGTTTTTTTTAAGAACAAAGCACTGAACTACACAAAAGAGGATATGAAAGGATAGGAAAG